CAGAGAGCAGGGAGACAGGGAGACAGAGACAGAGAGACTGGGAGACAGGGAGAGAGACAGGGAGAGAGAGGCAGAGAGACAGGGAGATAGGGAGAGAGACAGAGAGACAGGGAGAAAGAGACAGAGAGCAGGGAGACAGGGAGAGAGACAGACAGAGACAGACAGAGAGACAGGGAGACAGAGACAGAGAGCAGGGAGACAGGGAGACAGAGACAGAGAGACAGGGAGAGAGACAGAAAGACAGGGAGAAAGAGACAGAGAGATAGGGAGAGAGGCAGAGACAGAGCAAGGAGACAGGGAGAGAGACAGAGAAAGACACAGACAGAAAGACAGGGAGACGGGGACAGACAGACAGGGAGACAGGGACAAAGAGACAGGGAGACAGGGAGAGAGACAGGGAGACAGAGACAGAGAGCAGGGAGACAGGGAGAGAGACAGGGAGACAGGGAGAGAGACAGGAAGGCAAAGACAGAGAGCCAGGGAGACAGAGAGAGACAGAGAGTCAAGGAGATGGAGACAGGGGGCAGAAGGCAGCAGAGGAAGCCTCTTGACCAGGGGGGGGAGTGGGGTGGGGGGGGGGTCGGGTGGGGGGAGGGGTGCTCTGTCGTCCGCCGCCCAGCTGCGCCAGCAGAAAGGCACAGGAGCGAGAGGAGCCGGACAAGGCGCGAGACGCGGGCGACCCGCCCCAGCGAGGGAGAGAGAAAGCGGGCTTCCCCACCACTACCTTGTACCATGATCGTCCTCACCCAGTGGTTCTGGATCTTGGGGGAGGGACCGTGCGGCTTGATTCCTTTAATCTCTGGATGTGGCCTGTCGCCCAGGAGTGGGTAATTGGAACACACCGCTCCTTCCCGGCAGCCCGGCCGCTCGCACCTCGCAAGGTGGGAGCCTGGGCTGCGCAGGCACCAGGACGGCCTGGGCTCCCGACTGGCTTATTGGCTTCTCTTAGAGTCTGTCCTGCTTTTCCAGGGGCTCAGCGACTGCCCGGTTCTCTGTGGGGACCAAGGAGGGACCAAGGACCCCGCCAGAGGCCGTCTGTCCGGCAGCGTGGCAGGGGACAGCATCGGCGGCCAGAGAACCGTCCACCTGCCGGTGGCCTCAGGGCGGGCCGTCCCTCCCCAGAGTCCCCGTGAGGAGGTCATCCCTGAGCACAGAGACCCGGCCACTCACGGGGGTGAACCCCTGTGCCAGGCCCCTGCCACGCCCGGGAACCTACCCCTTCCCAGAGCACCAGGAGCCGTGCTCTGTTTCTGCCTCCTGTTATCCAAGCTGGGCCCAACAGCAGCGTGCAGCAGGGAGGGCGAGGGGTTTGGAAAGGGGACAGGAGATTTGAGAACGGGCTTGGAGGCGAAAGTCTGCAGAGAGGCACGGGTTGTTGGTTTTGACCGTAAATGATGCGGAAATCAGTGGCCGTCGTCTGCCGAGCAGCCCACGACGCCGGGGGTGTGGATTCAGGCAGCCCTGTTACCCAGAACCCGCTGCCCCGTCCTCCCCCGCCCCCCACCCCCACCCCCGGGGCCCGAACTCTCCTTCCCTGGGCGGGAGTCTTCCCCTCCACCCAGGCATGGCTGGAGGGCCCTTGGATGACAGTGGCACATTTTCCCCTCCCCCACCCCCTCACCCGCCAGCGCCGCGCAGCCCCTGCTGAGATAAAAGCCGGAGAGGAGCCGTGGTCTAATCACCCTGCTGCTGGAGTGGCAGGGCTCTTAGTAAAAGTGTGGGGTCAATCAGAGCAGGGAGAGGGCAGGGCCGGGAGAGGAGGCCCCATCCGGGGACCCCCTGACCATACCTGGAGTTCCTCATCACTCGTAGGCCCAGGCGGCAAGGGCATGGCTGTGAGGACAGGACCCCATGCCAAGGGGCTGAGGATCCAGGGTGAGGAGGGTTGGCTAGTATAATGAGCACAGGGTCCGGAGTCCAGGAGCTGGTTCGGTTCCGAGCTGTGCAAGCTTGGGCCCGCCTCCAACTCCTCTGTGCTTGACTTTCTCCCCTGCACGGCGGGCACTGGAATCATACAGAGGGTCTTAGGGAAAACTAG